TATATATATATATTCAAACTTGGCTCGCGAGCCTCATGAGCCGAGCTTTTCATAAGCCGAGCTCAAATAGCTCATGAAAAACTCGGCTCGTGGCCACCCCTACAAAAAGCATAAGTCCATAAAATAAGGAATGCCAAATGCAGCCTTGGCAAAGAAGACAAAAAAGGGTAAAGGACTTAAACCTCCCCTATCCATCTAAAATGCCGTTATGTTTGACAGAATCCATCAATCCAAAGACACTTACCCAACAACATTTTTCAAATTTTCAAAGTGAACCATTGCTATCAGAAATAAGAAAATAACAACCTCTTTTGATCTTTCCCACTACAGGTTGCCCCAAATGAACAGAGAAACTTGTAAAACTGCCTCTTGCTGAAAGAGGCTCCTCAATTACAGGCTGTGAATAGGAAATTACTGCAATGAACAAATTAATTGATGGAGGAGAATAATTACCTTGAGAAGCAAGTGTTACAATTGGTATGCAAGAATGGGCTTATCAGGTAGCAACTGAAAAAGTATGGTGTGGTTTCTTGATCTTCCTTTTGTTTGTCTATTTGTCATGAAGCAATCATTGGAGACTCTGGAACCAACGATTCGTCCCGAATTTGCAAGTTAGGCTGTGTTTGGTTGCAGTGTAATTTTATTTGCACTAATATAAATGTATGGGAGTGTAAATATAAAAAATACAAATTCTTGTTTAATTCTGTTTTGGGTTTTAATTTATTCTGATTCATGTTTTAGTTTACTTTATTTGTATTGTAATCAAACAAAATAAGCTCAAATTTGAAACAAAAATAGGTCAGAAGTTACACTTGGATCATTTGCACCATTATAGTTTTGTATTAGTGCAGATTTATTTGCATTGCAACCAAATACAGCCTTAGGCTCAGTTTGGAAGAAGTACAAATACAAATATGTAGAGTGAAAAACCTTATATTTTGTATTATTTTGTACATATTTGYATTTGTATTCCTTACAAACTGAGCCTTAGGAGAARAAGTCACAAGCACAGCAATGGTGTCCTTTGTTTTAAACAAGGTTTTAGAAACCTACCCGGAAACRGAAACGGAACCATTCTAGGTACCGATTTCTGGGTCAGCGGTTCGACCGTCTAGGTCAAACRGTTCGAACGGTTTGTATATTAGGGTTAGGGCAATTATTTTATATGAAAGGAGAACTGGAGTGGAGAAGAGATGTCGGAAAGAAAGGAAGGAGAAAGGAAAAAAAAAAGAAAAGAAGAGAAAGGAAAGGAAGGAGGGAAGGAGGTGGGAAGAACAATGAAGAGGGGGAGGATGGTTCGACGTCACCGGCGACGATAATGGCGATGACGATGGTGAAGCGGCAGCAACAGTAGATCTGAGTTCTCGGATCTCAAATCCGAGATTCTCTGCGGTCTACAACTTCTTCTTCTTCTTCTCTCACTCTCTTCTTCTTCTTCCACAGATCTCAGACACGAAACACGAACTCAGATCTAAGTTCATGTGTTTCTCTCTTGCATCTTTATACTATGAACCACTATCTGGGTCAAACGAGTCGACGGTTTGATCGCCCAGGTCAGCGGTTTTTTGACACAACGGTTTTTGACCCAAGAACGGATTAGGGGTGAAACGGAACTGGTTGCTTGGATGGTTTCCAAGTCGAACGGTCCGGCCGTCCAGATCAACAACAGTTCAAAAACATTGGTTTCAAATGCAAGAGATAGATAGATAGAGAGAGAGAGAGAGAGAGAGAGAGAGAGAGAGAGAGAGAGAAAGAGAGAGAGCTCAGATAAGGGAAAACCGAGGATTTTAAGATTTTAAATGTCTTACTTGACAAACGGGATTTCTTACACACAGATATGTGTGGTTGCAATTCAGAGCAGGTAGAGAGTGGGTAGGAAAAGTGATTAGGAAATTTGGGTTCCTTACATGATGTCACATGTAAAGAGAATGTGAAGACCAACTCACAGAGGAGTAGTATGTATCATATTTTCGGAGTACTTTAAGAAGGGTTTGAAACTATAGGGTACTTTAATTAATTAATCCATTTTTCTTTGTATAAACTGTTTTGTTTTTTTATTAATAGTTTGTTAAATTTTACATACTAAGAGTAATTAAATCAGATTGATCAGATTTGGATATCCAACATCCCTAACAAATTCGATTTGGATATCCAACATCTCTAAGAGTAACAGATATACTTGGATTTGAATCCAATGTGATCCGTTTGCATTTCTATTATATTACTATACTAGCAGGGACCCGTGCATCATCTGAAAAGATTTAATAATTTTATTTTTTATTTAATGCTGATTTATAAAAAATAATTATTGTTAATTGAATATGAACAAATATTTTTTAATAAATTTAGTTTTATTAATAATTCATAGTAATTTTAATAAATTTTATTCCTTTTATATTTTTAAATGAAATTTTGATTAACTTTAAATAAATGAAAATAATTATAAAATCTAACATTTTTATTAATTCCACTAATAATCTATCTATCTATCTATATATATATATATATATATATATATATATATATATATATATATATATATATATATATTAAAACAAAGCGGTCAAGAAATTTTCTCATTTTTTATTTTTTTTATTTCATATCATTTTTGAAACAACCAATGAGATGCACTTTCCCAATAACCTAAATAATCTCATCTCATAAACTACCTCCCCCAGTCTCCTAAATTATCTCTAATTGCTATTTATCTTCTAAATTATCTCTAGTTCTTATTTATCAACAAAATTATTTCTAATTTAGTAGAGAGCTTCTCTCCTAAATTATCTCTAATTCTTATTTATCCTCTCCCCCATCTTTTATTTATATCTTTCTAAATAAAGTTTGGATTAATAAATTTAAGAATTATTTAAACATTCTAACAAAATTATATAACAATTTTAAAATATTTAGTAAAAACAAAAATAAATTTTATATTTTTACAAAATATATCATGAAATTATGAACTAACAATTTAAATCCTATTTTTMCGAATTATCAATTTAAATGTTATTCAAATAATAAAAAATTAACATTAAAAATAAAATATTAATTAAATATTTCAATAAATAAATATCTTCAATAAAAAAATATTATAAATATATAAATAATTATATAACAAAATATTTAGTAATATGTAATAGCTTTAAATAAATAAAAATTAAATATTTTACATATTATTTAAAGAAATTGTGTATTAATAGTATAAATTATAATTTTATGGATTACTAAATTCAATAAATGACAAAAAAATTTAAATATTTTACATATTACTTAAATATTCAAATAACTAAATATTTAACATAACTAGATTTTAAATAGTTAAAATAATGAAATTATGTAATAAATTTAAAAAAAATTGTTAAAAGTAGAAAAATAATTATAATATAATATTGAAAATAATAATAATTTAATATTTTACAAAAGTAAAATGAAATTATGTAATAATAGTATAAATTTTAATTTTATGGATTATTAAATTCAATAAATAATTAATATTTTAAGAATTAAATATTTTACATATTATTGAAGTATTTAAATAGCTAAATAATTTAAAATAAAAAAMTATTTAACATAAGTATATTTTAAATTAGTTAAAATATAGAAGTTTTGTAAGAAATTTAAAAAATTCTGGAAACTAGAAAAATAATTATGACATAATATTTAAATTAATAATACTTTAATATTTTTACATATAATGTAATTAGCTAATTTCACTTATATCAATTAATAATTCGAGAAAATAACTTTCAGAAAAATTAATATTTATTAGTAATAATTTTGAACTCTTAATATATATTTATTATATAATTATATATGCTAATATTAATTTTTAAAGCATTTTAGTAATTATTTATTGTTTTTTGTGATAAATGTGTATTCAATAATTATGTATAAATTTATTTTTGTTTTTTTATTTAATAGAAAACTTTCACTAACTATTGGGTTTAAACTACTATTATTGAAATTTATAAATTTTGTTTATTGTATTTTTGTTATAACTTATTGATTAATATTTATTAGAGATTAAACTATTACTTCAGATTGTACTATTTATTGACTAATTTAATATTTTTTTAGTAATTATTGTATTTTTTCATTATCAATATATTTTCAATAATTGTGTGTTTTTGCTATAAATTTTCAATAATTATTGGATATTAAAGTATAGTTATTTATCAATGATGAGACTATTGATTTAGGTAAAATTATGAGTGTTCATGTGTTGGTTCGGTTCGGTTGTAGGTTGTTTGGCCAACCAAATTGACCTGGTCAAGTTGGGGAGTTGGTCAGTTGAAAYTGACTAACAATTTGTGAAAACTGACCTACTCAAGTTGTATCAGTTTGGGTCGATTTTTTGGTTTGGTCAGTCGGTTCAAAAGATTTAAACTTAAAAGTTAAATTTAAATTTTAAAAATTATAGTGCAATTGTTAAAAAATAAATTTAAAAATTAAATTTATGATATAAAATATTTTAGAATAAGAAATATTGGAAATTTCTCACTTTTCCATATTAAAAATTATATTTAAAATATAAAATATTAATACATATCAATGGTCAAGTTATCTAATTTTGGTTGGTTTACAAATGTCCAAAGTGAAACTG